GCACGCGGGCCCCCCCCCCGCCCCCGCCCCCCTCCGCCTCCCCAGCCCCTGTTTCCTCTCACGAGGCTTCTAGCCAAAGATGATAAAGGGTGAAATGGTTTTTAATACATAGATTATACTGCCTCTTAGATGTACTCTTCATAAGCTGGTAAACCAAGGATCTCGGGAGTGGCCAAACGAAATGTAATTTCCTTAAAACAAAACAAAACAAAACACAATGAATGAACGAAAGAAAAAAACCTAAGTGTTTCAGTATCAACTGTGTGAAGCTTCGTGTGCTCTCGCTTGGGTGATGAAAATGTGTGTGTGGTATTTTTTTTCCTAGGGAATTTGACAATTTAAATGTTTCACCACATAAAACATTAAAAATGCTTATTAATTATTTTGGTTGTTTTTAAAATGCTACTTTGACTTCCTATTAGATGCTTGATATTTACATATTCTTACTGGTTAATATTATTGAATGAAATATGGTCAGACTAAGATAACTGAAATCATGACGTCTGTGGTGCTGTAAAATTTATACTACGACGTGGACAGTTTGGAAATGATCACCACTTTTGATGCTCTGGTTATCAAGGTGAGTAGCAAGTTTTGCCGCAGAGATTATCACCGGACCGTTTAGCAAGGGTTGGTGGTTGCCCGGGGGGGTCGGGGGTGGGGGGGAAACTAATTCAGACAACTGTATCTTGGACATGTGTTTGAAAAAGCTTAGGACCTTAAGCAGTCATTGCTTTATGAAATGGTGAAAATGACTTGGTGTGAAATTTCTGGGAGATCTGATTTTCTTATCAAGGTTTTATAAATAGTTCTTCTTTCTATATTTGGATCAGTGAAAGACTGTGAGTTTGTATGTGAAGACATAACTGCCCTTAGTCATGCCTCTCCTTTTTGTCACTAATCACATTCAAGTGCCTGTGTTTTCTCATCTTGCTTGAGAACGTTGTCAGATGAACGTGCTCAAAAGTCCTATGTGATTGGTTTTAAACATTGAGATAAAATTAATTGTCAGTAGCATAGTGTTTTGTGTTAAGTAAGATATCATCTTATGTTTGAGATGCCAGAATGCTTTTATTCTACTACCTGTGCAATATTCGTGTTTTAAAACACACATTTGAGTATACATTTAATCACGGGGACGTCATCAGTGTAAGCACCGCTCTGAGAAATCCTTAGTTTCAAGTGTTGAATAATAGACGAGTTTGAGGTATCGTCTTTATGGTTGATTCTTAAACGTTTGCTTTAAGAAAATAGTCTTGAATCTCACATGCTGCTGTTTTTATGATACTTTGCCATCTTACTGTGCTGTTTTGTTTTGGAATTCATACGTGTCACTGTTTCCCCTTTTCATTTTCTAAGATGACTCTTGTTTGAGAAAGAGAGGGAGAGATTTCCTGCTCCAGCAGTGGGGTCCAGAGTTTACTATTTATTGCATTGGAATTGTCATAGAATCAGTTTAAAAATCCAAATGTGTCAAGTGCGCCACTCAACTTTTTTTATTCATAAGCTAATATTTTGAAAAGGCACATTTCGATTGTTTCCTTTTTTGCAGCTATATTCGAAAATGGTAGAATGGAAAGGTTTTAAGTAGTCGTCACTTTTTCTGATGATATGCCCATTTCAGTGGCTCTTTTGAAGGTTACTCTTTCATGAACATACCTAAGAAATCTTGTGTAGACAGTTTGCAATATTCAGGAGCCTAACGCTTTTTTCTTTGGTACAGCTTCTACGTTGCATGTTTATTTTAGCATATTTTGGTATTGGTAATTTGATATATTTCATAGTGGCAAAATATTAGCTCTATTTTGGGACTTTTTATAGAACTACCCCTCATATTCAGTAGCGTAGGAAAATGTTCTTGTGATTGTCAGGGTCTCCTAATATTTATCTCAATACTTTTATAATTCTATGAAAATTATTTAATTATTTTAAAACTTATACTTTTCTTGTAAATATGTCACATCTGAATTGTCAGAAAATTACTTTGAATACCTTAATATTTGCTGCATTTTTTTTTCTGTATATAGAACACGTCTTCTTTCAGAATGGGAATATACACATGCTTCCCAGTGTTTACTTTTACGTCTGCTACTTTATAATGTCAAACTGGTATGAACACTGTAATGATTTGAAAATAAACTTCAAATTCTAACTTACTTCTCGTTCGGTTTGGTTCAGTTTCTGATGTGAACAGGCAACCAGAACTAGTACAAAATCCGTTTGGTTAGTTGACTTGAATTTCCATGTTTAAGGACGGAGTAACTATTTGGTGGCCTTTGGAAGGCGCACAGCTGGAACGAAAGTTGCACGAGAAAAGATGATTGTTTTTGGGAAAAAGAGCCTGATTATTTTGCTTACCTCAAACAAAAGAAAAACACGTTCTCAAAAGCAGTACTAGATATGTCGGCTTCAGAGCATAGTTTGAATCGTCCAGGCTGCTTTTGCAGCGCGTGGTTATCGGTGAGACTGGACCCGGCCTGAGCGCGGCTGGGTACAAAGGGCATTTTGATCCCCAGACGGGCCGTTGACATGTACTCATGAAACTGCTTGTCGGGCGTTAAAGGCTGCTTTTTGCAGACCCGCTGTTGGTAACAAATCGTCCGTGTCTGCTCCTGCATCCAGCATCTAATAGCGATGGAATTGGAGAAAGTCTGTCTGTCTTAGTAATTCTTGTTAACTGGTGCAATGTAATTTTCTTTCCCTGAAAAGATTTTACATGTTTTTATTTTTAAAAAGCCCAAAATGAGAAAGTTCGAAACTTCGTGGCTTTCACAGAAAAAGAGATTCCTTTCTCAGCTTTTCTCTTACCCTAGTTGCTGTTCAGAAATCTTCAAGTCGTTCCCATACCTTTGTCAAAACGTTAACAGTTGGTGAGGCAGGAGATACTTGTATTAAAAAGTGCAGCGATAGAACAGCTTCATACCAGACTGGGTAAGAATCTTCCTGGTCTCTGGACGGGTTTGCCAGTCTACACAGGACATGATGAAAATACACATAGTTAGACGGCTTTGTATTTTCCATTTGCCACCTTCCATGTTATGCAGACCCAAAATTGATTATTTTATATGTTGTTTATTTTTTAATGATTTATGAAAATTGTACTTTTTCAAATCTCATCTAAGACTTATTGAAAATATTACTGAATTGGGGTTAGCGTTTACAGTTTTGATTGGTAAAACCTTAGTATTCCATTTTCATGACGTTTAAAGTGACAGTCCCTTACCGTGGTCTAGGGATGTGGGAACAGTGCCACCTTCTGGTTAGGTCATTGCTAAATTTAAAATAAAGTAATTTGTAGTCTGTTTGACTTTGTCTATTTCACTCATAGAAGTTAGAAAAGAAATGTAATTGCATAGGATAGTTTTGAAATTACAATTTAAGTTAACATTTGCAAAAGACCAATTAAACTTTCTATTTGGAGATAATTACAAATTCACATGTAGTTGTTAAGGAATAATACAGAGTTCTTGGATATCCTTTATTCAGGTTTCCCCAGTGATAACATACTGAAACACTATAGTAAAATATTATAACCAGGATTTTGACCCAAATTCAGTCAAGATACAAAACAAGGATCCCTTCTTATTGCCGTTATAGTCACACTCGCCTCCCATTTTTCAGGTTTGGAAGTACACTTAGTCATATTAGATTTAAAACCCAATTATTTTGGGGCGCCTGGGTGGCGCAGTCGGTTAAGCATCCGGCTTCAGCCAGGTCACGATCTCGCGGTCCGTGAGTTCGAGCCCCGCGTCGGGCTCTGGGCTGATGGCTCGGAGCCTGGAGCCTGTTTCCGATTCTGTGTCTCCCTCTCTCTCTGTCCCTCCCCCGTTCATGCTCTGTCTCTCTCTGTCCCAAAAATAAATAAAAACGTTGAAAAAAAAATTTTAAAACCCAATTATTTTGGTAACGAGGTTTGGGCTCTTAACTAGTATGGTATTACTGTCTCGGTAGAAGTCTTGAAAACTATTCTTTGCTTACTTGTACTATCTCCAGATTATTAAATTAGTTGACTTTTCATTAAATCTATTTTTAACATTTCCCAGAACCATAGTATTTCAAATGTTAGAAATTGGAAAATAATACTTTCTTTATATATACATTTAAATTTAACATTGGAGAACCAATAGTACATAAGTATCCTGAACGTAACCTCCTTGAGAGATGTTAAGCCCTGCCGTTTATATATATACTTAGTAAGATTACTAGAAGAAGGACTATTAAATAAAATAGTTTCCAAATGCCAAATTCTTGCGTTGGAACTAGTTGTGGAGACTGGTGATAATCACTTGTAGGGTAGGAGTGAGGTGTTCTTCCGTGTGAAGGAGCTTTTGACCTTCTAGTGTAAGATCTTGGGTCAAATCGGTGTCTTCGGTGTATGATATGCCCACGACAGGGATCTCGGAAGATGACGAAGACCATCCACAAGGAATCTGCGGAAAGAAACATACGGTACGTGATCAAATCAAGCGTGGAAAACCACACGTGGAGAGACCGAGGTGGTCAGTGAGTGACTGAGCGGGTGACAGAAGCTTTGTGCCAGAGGGGCCTTCCAAAGGTCCCAGAAGAGGAGAAGGTACCCAGTGAGTAAAAACTAGGTGACATGACAATACATTTGCAGATGTTGATTTGGAATTTGAAGGGTCCCAAATGGTGCAAAAACTTAAATCTTCTCTTAGAGGCTCGTTGCCTCTTTCTCCCTTTCAAACTGTAATACTTGTACCGGTCACACTAGTTTTCGTCAGCAGTGTGGTTGGCCCGGCGAGAGGTCGACGGGGAAGGAGTGGATGGGAAATGTGGAGAACTTTCCGTGATTTAGAAGATTACCGTGTCACAGCCCGTTTTGGCCTCTGCCTTTGCTGCCTTCGTAATGGGAACATCTATTGCCCGTGGAACCTTATTTACTGTTTCCAAATAGGGGCTGTTAGTCC